TTAATTGGGTAATTTATAAGGTTTTCATTTTATTTTGGGCTATTTAATTAGAATATTTTATCTTCGTCCAGGAATGATTTATAAACGTACAATTTTTTTAAACAAATATTTAGAAATATCTAGGATAATTTGAGGCAAATAAAGACTAAGCATGGGGTGAAGAAGATAAAGACCTGACAATACTAGCAGAGTTAAAACTCGATCTGATTGCGATTAAATTTGTAAATAGTTCTTGGTAAACTTTTAGTGAAATGGATGACTGATTGAACGACGTCTAGCGGTTTGGCAAACAGCTTTACTTTCGATGGTCGCGGGTTCGATTCCTCGCACGGTACAAGCGTTTGTGTTCATGAGTATGTTTGTTTGTATCTAATGGTCTGGGTATTTTCTGTGTATACACATAATATTGATATTTTTTTGTAAATATATATAAGTATATAATAATATATTACATATATATATATTTACAAAAAATATCTAAATAATCAGTTATCTAGTACCCATAACACAAGCTCTGCTTAGCTTGCAACTAGATGGCGCTGTGTGAATTGTCCAGGATTATTATTGTTATATGTCACGTGGTATACACTATTTTGCCGTGATCATAATCACCATTTGATAGTGTTGAATAATTGCTTGTAGTTGTACTAATTGTTACTATTTACTAACTGCGTTAAGATTATATCGCAGCGACGTGTAGTTAGACTAATTTACATAGTGATGTGACTAATAATATCGTTGGTAAGACAATGTCAGATTATACATAGGTATTTATATCTACTAATATTAAGTATAAAGTGTAATGTTTATGAGTTCGATTATTTAAACTTCAGTTAAAATTTAAAAAAATACTTAATTATTGGACGGTATAATTGATGCAATTTTAAAATTACTTTAGTTTTGTAATAGCCCATTTATCGAGGAAGTTTATACGTTATAATATTAGGCTACGACCAAGAGGAGTGGATCTGCAATATACAATATTGCAAAAATGGCGAAAATGTGACGCAGACGAAGTTGTAGGGTGTAGTAGAGATGCTGGTCAGAAATAAATAACAACTTCAACTACTTAATATACACGATAATTGTTCTCAATATTAAATACCATATGTTATAAGAAATGATACATGGAAGCACTATATGGAATACCTTCACCGTACCAAACCATCCTGGAAAAGGTATCTCCTATATACTCGTAGGTCCAAACGGGAATCGAACACAGGAACAGATTTACGAAAATCCAAATGCTCACCACTGTACCGGCATGCGAAAAGGGCTTTAAATGTGTCATAGGTATTTATAAGTTTTAGAAAAATCACAGAGTAATGTACAAAGACTTCATTTTATATAATCTCGTTGTATAAGTAATAAAGGAAAGTTATCAACGGTTTTAACTCACGCAGTAAACATAAAAGAAAGTAGAGTCGTAGAGTTTAATTAAAATTTTACTTCGCAAATGCTGTTCCTACATTGTACTAGCATAGAGTTGAGAACAGTAAGAATTATATAAATATAATATGAGAAGCATACCTTGAACACTAATTGCCTCCGAAAATAAGAAGGGGCTGGGCAAGCGTCGCTGATGATAGAGCCTCCAACTCAAGGACCGAATGCACAACACAAGAAAATTTGTCACTGTTTCGAAACGCACCAATTACATACACAACTGGCACAATACTTCTAGCTCACTGTTTAAAAATATAAAAGATGTCAAATTTACAAAATGAAATCATAAAACGCAAAGCTCGTTCGTTTAAACGGGTTTTTATTTACGAATGTTGAAGAAACTACGCACACAATAAACACCTGTAAAATCCGCTAGTGTTCCGCGGCGACTGAATGTATGGCAAGACAGAGATAGGTTCATGGCGGGTAAAGGAGACAAACATTGCTGTTGACGTGGGTGGGAGGACGATCGCTGTTTCAAGAATCCACACTGCTCTACTTTCCTAGTCTGAGCGTCACAAATATTTTTCTTTCGTGTTTTGTTTGTGTGAATAATTATAATACACAATAAAATTTTGTGTAATAAAAATTTATGTATAATCACAATGAATTACTAAGTAAAAAATATATTATTAACTGTATGTATTTGTGTAATATTATCTGATCTGTGCCATTACATTTCATTTTTAAGAAACTGAAAAGTAATTTGTATAGCTCTAACTTCTTTAACTATTTGTAATCATACTTATATAGCTTTAACTTTTTTGACAATTTCTAACAATAATGAGAAGCATAAAGTGAGCGCAGAGATCTCATTTTAAAGCAATTATTATTAATGATATAAAACAAATTTATAAATAAACTAATATATGTCTTGATCACCTATGTTTTTATTTAGATAAAAATATAGCAATAATTATATAAGATTAAAGGTATATATTGTAACTAAATACATAATTACAATAAAATATTTGCAGGCAACCATCTGTTGAATGTTTTGTCCACGCGGTGCGGTCGCGGGCGCGCTGGGCGCTCGTACCTCCTGTTACCTGGTACCGCGACCGAGCTCGGCGCGGGCGCCTCGCATTACCTCACGCTGCACGATTCAAATTTTTACGATCTACTACAACAAAGTTCAGCTTTGTCTATCTGAACTGAGAAGAGAGCAAGTTATTATAGTAAAGTTTATTAAAGTAATTACATTAATTTTATAGGTATTTATTTTGGATACTATTCACAGATCAGATAAAGCTTGATATATTTTATGTTCTTAATGATTTTTTCTATTTGGAAATAAGTATAAAATTGTTTATTTATGTAAGTAAACAAAAGGTACCTAAAGGAAAGTGGCAACCGTTATCTAAATGGAAACATGTGCCACGGTATCATAAAGAAAAGGCAGGTAATGGTAGATGAGTGTACAAATGGCAACGCACCACAGGTAGATACCTCTGATACGTTGTCAAATGTGTGAAAACGATTTAAGATCACAGGGTCCCAAAGCCGTTAAAACAGTTAACCGTCGTATCTCGCCCTATTCCTTGGAGGTAGAGATTTTTTTAATGACTAATACATTTAATAGGCATTAGGCCGTTAATGACATACTCGTACTTTACTATAATATTTATACTACAATTTTGCAATAAAGCCTACAAAAAATCGTTAATCATCAAAGTTATTGTATATATCTAGATGAAATACTTGGTCACGTACTGGCAGTATAATAATTACATTAAAAAATACATTTTATATTTAGACAATTTTACTTTATTACAATAAATTGATAAAACAAAAATAAACACTACTGTGTTTTATTTTTTTTTCAGGAAAGCCAGTGTAGAAAGTGATTTAAAACATTAACGAATGGGATAATGTTATTTAGGTAATGCTGGTGATGAGAATGTTTTGTTATGGTTATGAGTGATGATGGTTACGGTGATGACGTCTATCTTTTGTCATAAAGCTTAATATTGTAAGTATTGTTAATATTGACATGATAGTATTTCGTGTCTTATCGCAAATCACTATCATAATTCAAGGCCTACGTATTTCTAAACAATCTAGACATACCGTTTCCATCATAGCACTAAGATTACACTTGGCGTAATTGGAAATTTTGTAGCTTCATAATTTATTACTGAACAAAATAACTACTTGGGTTCACATACAACCTTGAAAACGATTATGTTCCAAGAAAAGACAGAGCTAAATGGAGTATTGATTCATTCTTTTTAAAATTGAGGGAACTACTTAACAAATTTAACTTATGATAGTCTTATAGCTAGTCTTGTCAGATTGGCAGTAAGAGATTGTTTTAGGCGATAAGGCCGCCTTTTGTTATGAATATTGGTACAAATTGTTACGTTTATTTTTACCGGCCATGGTACGGTACATACGCGTGCATAGTATGTGAATTATATGGTCATAATAAAACTCTGTATAAATATAGTTTTTAAATTATGTGAAATTATTGCCGCATGGTGTTAAGTCCGCCAAATGTACTATACTATATATTATATTCTGTGCATTAAAGTTAAATAAATAAAAAAAAAAAAAAATAATAGCGTGATGACAAAGTACAAAAATATTTTATTTAGGGAATGTACATATAAATGTAAAGTTAAATTTGATATGACACGAGCATATGTTATTTGCAGGTTTTATAGATGACCGTCTTATCTGAGCCTAAAAACCTAATTACACTTCTCATTTGCCTACAGATTTCAATTAAATATCATGTTTATTATATTATAAATATATTTAATTTGTATAATTATTTGATAATGTTATCTTACACTATAATCAGGGTAGTAAACGAATAAATATTTATTTGAGTAAGTCATAGAATATACGTTATTATATACGTAAAATTGAAATTATAACAAAGTTTGTTTGTACAGCACTTATAAAATTAAGATAAATGAGAACAAACTTTTAAATATTTTATACAAATTTTTTAAGAAAAAAATAAGTAAAATAGTATATTTATATTTATAATGAAGGAATTAAAGAAATTGATTTTCAGATATTTGTTCCTTATATTAGTATATACTTGTTAACGATTAATCATTGCAATAGTATGTACAAAACTTACTTTGTTGTTTTTCATATAGCTAGAATTTTATCTTATAGTTATTGTGTTCAATAAATAAATAATGTTTGCGTTCGTACCATTTACCAGTTCGTACAATTAACGTCGTAGATATGTTAAGATGGCGTATAAGATATTCAAAGGACATTTAAATTAGATGTTTTCCATAAATGTAATATTATATACCTAGTATTATTCCTAAATAGAAATAATATTAGGTTATTTAATTTATATTTATATATAAATTATTTAAAAATTTTAAGTAATACAAATGTATTAAGAAAAATAAAAATAAAAATTTCGATGTTACAATAAAAAACTGAATAGCTTCGATTAATTATTTAGTATTCTTGGTACCAAGACTCTATGTAGTTGACCTTACATTTGAATATTATGTAGATCCGTAGCCATATTTATTGAATTATTCTATTGAAGTCAATTGACAGTGTGCTGGGGACGCGGACGTCAGTTCAGTACGCCGTGCCTGATAACTGATAAGTGTCGTGTTTTGTGTAACGAAAAATCTAAAAATAATTTTTTAAATTATTAACCAACTCTCCTTTACGCTCTGCCGGTGTTGTGAACGTACGTTTGTTTGTTCTACATTTTATTGCAAGTTGCAGAATTAAAAGTACTTATTTCCTAAAAAAACAATTCGTGTTAGGTAAGTTGCTATTTAAATTATTAGAACGAGGAAGTAGGAACCTAGTACCTATGTTATTATTTTTTGAAAGAAAAAATATAAGACTAGTTAATCGCGTTTTCGTCTGTGTTTCCTTTTTGAGATAAGATACCGCGTATATCAGTACTCATGATACAGTCTATCTTATTGTCAAATTTTATTAAAATCTGTTTAGTCGTGAAAAGATAACAAATAGACATTAATTCTAAATATACTATAAACTTCCGCATGTATAATAGTAGTATGGACAATCTGAAATTATTAGTTCAGTTATGCTTAATTTGGAATATCATTAAATGATAGTAAGTAGGTAGGTATATATTATAAAGAATAAACCATAGAAAATCTCTTTTCACATCACATTTATTATGCGGTAGCTAGAATGAAGGCATGAAAAGTTTTAGTTGGTTATAAAGTGCATGGTATTTGTCACAATATTCAAAGACATGATAAATATATTTTAATACATACGTCCTTGAATCCTGTTGTAATGTAAATAGGTATACTTTATTACGGTTGAGTAGAATATAGAATAGCCATTATTGCATAACAGAATCCCCCGAATATTGATATTCAAAAGTCAAAATGTATAGAACATGTTTTGCCACTTATGCACGTAACAATTTTTCATACCTTTCGATACCGGTTTAGTTCGGTACTTATTTTGAGAAGAATATATAAAATAGAATAATGTATGTGTATGTGTACTGGTGCCTTAAACAAAGTGAAAAAACAAATGTTAATGCATATTTTAAGTATATATATATTACATTACCTAAATAAAATTCATGATTATTTTTTATTATCTAAATCAAGTAATATAGGTTTATAGTAATTATTTTGCAATAACAAACATTCGATTACTCATATCGTTTTGCAGATTTCCACAAAAACAATTTCTATCAAATAAATCTAATATTAGACATAAATAAGATTGTTTTCCGCTTTAGTAGACCCATTTTCTCTTATCATCAACATATCTGAAGTAATAAAATTTTACTAGATTAATTGCATCAGATTTGAGGCTGTAGTCAGTGGTATTTTATTCTTTTATCATATTATTTGTCTTATATATAAGTGGAATGACAAACAAGTTGTCTAACCTGATGTTAAGAAACTGTCGCCTATATGAACTCCTGTGGTACTTATTTATATTCTTAACCGGGTCTTAACATTGAATATACTTTTGAATAATGAACGTATTTACCTCTCTCGACGTTTGGCAGGCGATTATAATTAAAAAATATATCCCGATTTCAACCTAGAGGATGACTTAAAATTATCATCTGCGTGGAGTCCAGTCATAAATAAATTCAAACAAACTTCGGTAGCATCAATAGTCAATCAGTGTACAGATACTGAGAGTGGTGTGTGTCGTGTGATTTTTCGTTGGACAATCTAGAGACGGTACTAGAAAAAGCTGCTGGCACCTGGCAATATTGACATAGCTGTTACTCCAGTCAGCATGTGACCACGGCTAGTGCAACCTAGTCGAAACATCGAGACATATAAATACCTTTATTTATCATAAAATTATTCGTGTTAAGATTCAGTTGTGATGATGATTAGATGTGTATCAATCACTAAGATGTTATGCCTCCTTACCCTATAATGTCAGTATTATATTTTACTTGTTTCGTTTTGTTCTAAACTTGATACTTCTTAGGTACCTAACAGTAAATCTTTCCGGGAGTGATGGCATCACGTCTAGCGAGCTTGTGGCGAGAGTCACTGCGCCGACGGCCTGTGATCACCAATACTCTGGTTTACGCCACATTCTACACGGCCGCTGAACTGTCCCAACAGACATACGACAAGATTTATTCAGTAAGCATTGTTCAAGATAAAATATTCATTTTTGTATATATGTATAAACATATTTCTTGACATTTATCTTCACTTCTTTATTAAAACAACAAATTTATATTTCTAACTAGATCTTACCTACGACTTCGTCTAAACAAACTTACACATCTTATTTCTACCGCTTACAGATTATTTATTGGAAGATATGAAATAGCCTATGTCAAAATGTATTAAGTTCCGTTCAGTTATATAATGACACGTATAAAGGTAACAAATAGATTAACAGAAAGAAAGACATTTTCGTATTAAAAAAAATATATAAAAATATTGGCAGCGGTGGGATTCGAACCCACGCCTCCGAAGAGACTGGTGCCTTAAACCAGCGCCTTAGACCGCTCGGCCACGCTACCGATAACAGATTTAGGTCTATGTCAGAACAACATAATTATCTGTTATAATGAAAATAGCTAGATTACCGTTTACATAACGTACTGATATATCAGAGGATTTAGACTATCTGATCCATAAGAAATTATGCTGTGTTATTCGACTAGTGACTACAATGCTAGTTATAACGCATGCCAAGTCGTCTTTCCTATCCAAGTAGACTTTGTAAATATCGTTTGCGTGGGCACATTCCACTCATCTATTTCAGCCGTATAGCCTGCTTTGTGTTTTCGGTTGAAGGTCAAGATATAACAGTGAAATTACAGGGTACAGAGCTAAGACACTTCAGTTCTTAGAAATCGCAACGCATTATGAGTGCCACGGGTGGCACGCATATTTTGATGTTTGTGGTGTTCTTGTAGGAGTATATAGCTGACGGATCCACTGACCATCTGATAGGTCATCGGACTGATGCAAATCTACAATGTAGGTTAAGTAGTGCCTCTCCCAAGTACGCTACTTAGCGTGCATTCAACCCTTTGCTTTCAATTGTTATCGGATATCATAACTCCACCTAAGCTGCAGTGCGTCCGACATTACGTTTATTTATAACATATATTTGACGGCCTTGGAGGTCTAGCGATATTAGCACACCACCTTACTTTCGATGGTCGTACGTTCAATTCCTCGCACAATGCAAACACTGTATTCATGAGTATAATTATTTGTATTTGTCTGGGTGATTTCTGCGCCTATTATATCAGTTGTCTGGTACTCGTGATACAAACTTTACTTGTCTATGGACTAGATGGCGCTGTGTGTATTATCCAGGATTAAAATGATTATTATTAAATTGAACCTTTAATAATTGATTGCAGCCCAAAAAAACCGAGATGGATTTTGCAGCAGCAGGTCGACTTGTAACAGTCGGAAGTGGCCTTTATGCACCTACATTATATTACTGGTAATAATAATCAAAAGTATTATAATATTATATAGAGTTAGTTTACAAATAACCTATGGTGAACTACATTATAAATAAGTTTAGCTGTGGGATTCCTACAGTAGTTGTAGCCGCGCGAAACAGGGGATAGGAGGAGTATCTACCTATCTGTCATTAGAGTTTCGAGTTTATGCGAATATAATTAAATGATAAATTTCATCATAATCCTTGTGTACATATAATTACATAATTACTTTCATCAAAATTCATTAAAGTGAATATTGAAATTAATTTTAAATGTTTAAGCAATATATAATTTATGTACTTTTATTTTTTAGGTACAGATTTTTGGACAATAAGTTCACGGGTACTGCAGTAAAAACTGTTCTAACGAAAGTAGCTACTGACCAAATATTTATGATGCCGATATTATTAGCAGCTTTTTATACACGTAAGTTATAGGTATTTGGAATAGTAATTTTGCTTCCGATTTATTTTACATACTTCGTCCTACTAATCTGTGCTATAAAAACATAATATAAACTCGGTATTATTACTACTTACCACAACTAAATATCAATAAAAAAATTGGAAATATAAAAATTCTAAATCAGTTGAACATTTGTAAACATAGCGTAAGGAGATTTCATATAGCCAGCAATACTACACTTTTAGGCATATACAGTTATATTCTTTTCTTAAAGCCTAATTTATAAAACCATATCTAAATACAAAGAAAACAAAATTCCACTGATTGTATTCCCAACGCAATAAGTCCATTTTTATATCTGCAACTCTATAATTACAATTTGTTTCAGTACTCGGAGTGTTCGAACGCAGAGAAGACGTGTTTGAAGAACTACGTCAGAAGTACTGGAAAACCTTTGTGGCCAATCAAATCTTCTGGATACCAGCACAGACTATAAATTTTTATTTCATGCCACCCCATTTAAGAGTAGTTTATGTAGCATCTACTTCTTTTATATGGATAAATGTTTTTTGCTTCATAAAGAGACAAAAACATGAGAAAACTAGTGTTTAGGAATAATAGTGAGCTAAGTATAGTACCTATCTATTTATAAGCCGAATAGTGCCTACGCCTACGTCGTGTCGTCGTGAAGAACCGACTAGGTACTCGACTATAGATTTGGTAGATTTATACGATTGTTCAAATCGGAGAACTAAAATCTGGTAGTTTTTATTTATTTATTTATTTAATTTTATTGACCAATAAAATATGGTTGAAAAACCAATCAACTTTCAACCAGTTAACCTTCGGGAAGTGCAGACATACTTGATGGTGGATTAATATTAAATATGCAAATCACATAAATAAATAGTATTCATTGGATATATTCAATATATACATACATTTAATATAATGAACATACATTCCTTGTTTTGTGACAGATGATTAAGATAGTATACAACGTATAAATAATTAATATATACTAGCTGTGCCCGCCCCCAATTTATAGCCTGTATGTTATTCCGATGTATAAGCTATATTACTGTAGTTTAATCAAAATCCGTTCAGTAGTTTTTGCATGAGTAACAAACATTCATCCATACTTAAAAACCTTGCGTTTATAATGTTGATAAGATGTAGTTGTTGTTGGATAATAATGTAATGGATGTAAGATAGCAAAAATATCATTATTGGTTCGTTTTGGGATCGTCCATAAATTACGTAACACCAAATTTTTATTTTCGACCCCTCCCACAGTTATTGACCCATTTGGTCACTTCATATGTGGACTCTCTAATATGACGTCAACAATTTTGAATTTTTGTTATATTATGTAAATTAAATATATATAAATATATTAGATATCGAAACGTGATGTCGTTAAATGATGCCCCTCCCTAATTTGTGACGTAATCTATAGATGGCCCTTTGTATTTAATAAATACTAGGATGAAATAATTTTTATATAGGTTTTGAATCCCCTTAGGGATCTATTAGATATCGCCTAAAATGTTGGTATAAATAAATAAAATAATCAATTGGTTTTGTATCAGAATCGGATTAATGAACTGTGTTTGTAAATGTTTTTAAATGAGTTATTCAACATTTTAGATAGACGTCCATTATATTGAGGTTCATTACCGAAATATAATTTTTATAAAGTCGTCTGTAGGATCTGTTAGAAAATACAATAGACTTTTATATAGAAGTGACACTTACATCTTGCAGAAATGTTCGTATTTAATTATATTAAAAAAGAAATAATATAGATAAAATATTAAATCACTCATTTATAATATTTCATTGCCTCTTATTTTTGTTTTTGCAGTCCTATTATTTAACTATAAATATTTATATAAAGCACGTCAAAGATCTATCCAGTCGTGTTCCCTAAGGCACTTATTACTTCCTATTTCTTTTATTGCATAATATTACAATATAGGTAACTAACAGGATTAATTAATAGTCTTGAGATTATAAGGTTTCTCTTGATCTACATACTTTACACTTCATTTTGTTATAACGGGTTCCCTTCAGTCTGTACACGGGTGTTGGATGATGTAGAGCACTGCTCATAAATATGGCGGACCTAAATATATTGATGAATTGTTCTGTGCAAGATACATTTTTGTATAATTTAACAAATTATGAGTTAAATGTTACGACAACAAAAAGTGAATATACCACTAAAGCAGTTGGCTTCGGAACTTTGACAGGAATATTTGTATCTTTAATAATTAACATTATTTTGAGTTTACTGGTGAGTTTCTTATTTGATTCTGTATATTAGTTTTTAATCTACATTAAGATACATTTTTTATCTAACTTTTAAAACTACTCTATATTATTTTCAGAATTCATCTATAGACAGATAATCTTAACTATTTTAAGTCTAAATGACTGAAATGTTTGTTAACGATTGTGTTTTATTGATGTACTAAAAGAGAACACTCAAGTTTCTTGCTCATTCTTTTTGTGACGAGTCTATGTCCTTATGAGTGGTAGATTAAAAAAATACTATTTAAAACCTATGACATGTATTAAGTTTATTTCAATAAAGATTACATCTTGAGACATAATTCTTAAATCTCATTGTTTCAGTATTCCAGAGGTCGTAATCTAATTTTAACCATACAATTTATCAGTAAGAAAGTACTTATAAAAAGTGTTGTAATAATATTTATAGTAGTATTGTCACCAGTCATTTCAGTATTGCTAATTATTGCTGTTATGTATAAGTTTTTCTGTTTAAGACTAATAAAGCAAAAAGACAAATACTTCGTGAGCTTCCTAGATAGTTTTGATGTCTTCTGGAATTTAGAAGGAGATTCCGTCATTAATATTTTAGGTGTAATAGAATCAAACTCGTCAGAAGCCCTTGTTGAAAGAATAAAGGACAAACTTCAAAATCTTATTCCGAATGAAAGTACTGATAAGATTTTTTATAGACGAAACGAAGATTATGGATTCTATTACTGGCGGAAATACAACATTATTGATGTCAACGAATATGTTCAAATCATAGAACTGCCACAGAAATATGAATACGATGTTGTTGATATAGAGGACTTAATGTCCGATTTGGCAAATCAATCGCTACCTTATAATGACGAAGGTTTGTTCAAAATTATAATAACGAAGCAAAGAATCGGAAATTATAATGATGAAAGAGGAGAGTATGCAATAATATTTAGAATACATCATTCCGTTGGTGACGGCGTAGCTCTTATTGAGTTTTTATGTGAATCTTTAGCTGACAACACGAACAGCCAAACAGCAAAGACTTTTATTATGCCTAAAATCCGATATGACACTCCCAGCGATTTAATAAATATGATAAGAAAATTGTGCACCATACCTTTATGTATCGTAGATCTAATATTAAGGAAAGCAGATAAGAATGCGCTCCACGGTCCTTCCCTGGTTGGAATGAAAATATTTAAATGGACGAAATCAGATGAAAATATTCTAACAATGGTCAAAGAAATAAAAGATAATGTTAGCCAACTCAACTTTTCAGATATTATAGTAGCTGCACTTTCTGGAGGTTTAAATAGTTATTTCATAAAGGTAATTTATGTAATGTTAAATGTTTTCGAATAATTTGCTATTGTCTAATTCGAATTTTAATTCTTATGCAGACAATGGCTCCTGTTCCAGAAGATGTAGCAGTTATAATACCAGCCAGAGTCCCTCAAACACAATTATCTGAAAGTGACAAAAAACATTTTACAAATGATTTCACTGTATCTATATTGGACGTACCAGTAAAGACTGGAAATTTAAATGATATAAAAGAAAGGTTTAATAATTTACGTAACGGTGTTGAGTTCCAGGTATGTAGTACGCGGACTATTACATTCGAGTAATAAATATAAGTTTCTATAATTAAAAGATCTGTACATTAACGAATAATAGTTATGCCACACCAAAAACAACAAATATTTTTATTTTTCAGATAAATCATTATTTTCTTAAGTTAGGAAATATTTTACCTAAGCAAATTCTGGAGCCTATGTTCTACAGTAATCACGCAACAATTGTGTTAAGTAGTATGCCAGGACCTGAATGTTTAAGTATTTGTGGGGGTAATGTCCTTAAAAGACTAGTATTCTTCGTACCACACAAAGGCACAACTGGTAAGCATTGTAAAGATTGTTTTATATGTAATATGATACTATTTTTCTATGACTTCGTGGTTTATACGTTGTAGTTTTACATGTGCGTGCTACGAAATGAAACCACAGGATTTATTATTACTTTACAAGATTTCTTGTTGAACTTTCGAGTAGGTACATGCATTTACTTACTTAAAATATTTGTAAGAGGTCGCTCTATAAACGATAAACTCATTCGTTAAGTTGTTTTTGCGTGATCCAGTAACAAACAGCCATCCATACTCACAAACTTTCGTGTTTATAGTAGGCATTACTTTTCCTATTTTAAGTAGTCTCATTTTATCTAAATATGATGAACATTGAAATTATGTTCCTAATATAAAACTATAATATAATTAATTCATACTGGCAACATTATCGCAAATTTCTTACCCACCTTATACGTGAAATTTACCAGTGTAATAGGGACGAAGTAATGAAGATTTAAATTTATCAAAGAATTAGAAATACTGATCTTGAGTTTATAATTTTCATATCTTGATGTGATTTTATATACTCTGTAGGCTTAGGTGTGACGGCATTTTGCTACGGTGGTGTGCTAAGGTTAGCGGCATCGGCAGATAAAGCATTAGTTTCCACATCGGAACATCTCAACTTCATTTTAGACGGCATGTTGGATGAGATTAGGCGCCTGCATGCACAATACGTGAGGAAGTGAATACGCATGTGTTTATATGGCTTGCTTGGTTATGGCATTTCAGTAAAAGGTAAGATATGAATTTATTCCAATAATTAATCATATTATAGTTTTTTAAGTAGCTAGGTTTAAATACTTGGATGACAAAAATTACCTCAGCAATGTATTTTTTAAATCTCTTTACTGACGAGACTTTGTTTTTTATGTACTATCTTAACTGAATAAATTGAATATTAAAGATTGCTTTCAACGCTTTGTTTTTATAAACAACGTAATAGACTGATAAAAACACTTGTCAGTCAGCAATTAGTATATATATATAATATGTTAATATTAAAATTTGTGTTTCAGATATGGAGATAGCCAATTTTGCCGTTGTTATTCTTAGGTATATACCCATATACCTGCCTATAAATGCATATTAATGTTCAATGAGATGTAACTTTCTAAAGTAAATCTTCAGTCCATACTTATGCTTTACAATAATTATAATTTTAGAAATAAAATAATCTTCAGTAGTACTTAATATTACAATTTATTTCAAATAATTAATAATGTTACTAACATGTAAATCTTCAGACATAGTAAATTAATTATTCCAAACTATACGACCTGGCATCAATTGTTCAATGAAAGCTTTTAGTCGCAGATTTTCCAAGTAGAGAATGTTGTATTTACGAATCTAAAATAAATAATAATATTATTTATTGAAAAGAACAATAAATGTAGATGGGGAAGGTGCACTCGAGCGGGTTCCGAAATGGCGACTTTTATATAAACGGTTGACATCTTGCAAAATAACAATAAATTAAGGTTGCTCAAATCTGGATGCCTATAGGTTTTTTGTGTTTTTTATATTCACTAATCAAATACGCTACCACCAGTAGCATACTTGCTAGAAAAGCATATATACAATATGCAAAGACGCAATGCTAGAAAAAGTGAATACACAGTTTCATACAATATTTGTACCAAGTAAGTCTATTTATGCCCTTGTAGCTTCCTCTACCCCAACCGGAAAGGAAGTCAGTCATTTATAGGATTTTTTGTTGCAGAATGTAACTTACCGTCTAGTCCTAGTCCTAGGTCGCTTAGATGCTTCAGTTCAGAATAACTAACAAGTAACTGAACTGATAGATACTTTTAATTAGAAAATGTATAATTATCGATACACGATAATTATAATCACTTGAGGTACTTTACCAACCTCAGCAAGAAGTAATGATGTGTGTGCATTGTGTTCTGCTGCCATGCAAACCTTCAACTGTTGTTCCAATACCAAACGAGCTCTTTCTGTAGATCTTACCACATTTTTCACTGCACATTTTAGGAGTTCTATAGTGTCTTTGTATTTATTTTTCTGTTTGGTAATTTTAAGAATGCAATTTAATTAGTTTCATATAAAGGCTTTATCTAAAGAAATGCAGATAGAAATAATGTTTATGGAAAGATATTAACTTTTATTTTATTCCTCATTCGGAAAGCAGATTCAGCCTAGAAAGAGAGAACTAAAAAGAAAGAACTAGAAACTTATAGTAAACATTATATGTAATCACCCAAAACTGGTAAAGCATTTACTCTTATTATTTCAAAGACTTGATATAAAAAATATGGTTATCATAAACACAACTTTTTTTATTATCTTATTGAGTCGTTACAACACCGCTTCTAATGCCTTTACTGTCTAAATTTGTATTTGAATCTATAGTTCTTTTATATTACATTCTTGTTTTTGATACTTCAATTCCTTCTTTCCTTTCCTAATTGTCAGTAGGCTATATTAATATATTTTCTCCGTTTACCTAGTCTTTTTTCTTATTACTACACCAATATTTCTTATATTTATTATTTCTTATAAATTAAAATGTAATTTTAATTTCAAATGACCAATGAAATCACAATATGGATTCATTAACATTTCGTCCAACTGGATGAAATAACTCATAAATGGTATTTTATTAGGAGATGTTAAAAATTACAGTTGCAAATTTTATTAGAGAAATTATGAAAAATGTCACTCTGTATAAACTGGAGCTAAGAATCAATATCTATACTGAGATAACTCAACAATTAATTACATCAGTTAGCATAGTGTGCAGTAGACTTCTACGCCACTTTGGCTCTGACCGTATCGCGTTTTAAACATTTGAAATTTCCGCAGTTTTTAAAACCCTAATTTGTTCAAATAGAAATAAAAAAAAAATATATTGATAAATATTCTTAATTATAATATTAGAATTTATTAAAAATATTTTTCTCGTTTTTGAAGTTTATATATGTATATTATTCGAAAATTATATACAATATCAAGTTTTTACCTATTTGATCAACTTGCTATGAGACTTAGTTGGTATATATACTTACACCTACAAATTAAGTATTTACCTGCATGTGACATTTACGCTTTAGCGTCAAAAATTTTTCTCCGACTACAAGTAAAACTTTATGCGCATGAGTCAGTTGTTTGTGCATCTCCTTTGTGCGACACTGTAATCGCTCTATAGACGTATCTCGAATGTTTACAGCCGTACAGCGATCGTTGTACGCTTGCAATAAGGCTTCATAACGCTTTGATAGTTCTTCATACCTGAGTAATATAAGAGTGGTAATGTATACTTAAATAAGCATGGAGGTAAATAGAAACACATCACAGATTAGTCAGATTAAGTCAGAGAGATATTCTATATATATTAATTTTAAATTATATCAAATACTAGTTACAACCTTACATGAGATACCGCCCTTATTACTAGATTTCTATGTGAAAGAATTTTTCAAATCATAAAGTATTATAAAAATTTTTTTAAAAATTCCTTATCCCATTGATTTGGGGTCGGCGTAATGTTTCTCTCTATCTCTTCCATTCATCCCTGTTCGCAGTCATCTCGATATTAACCCTTTCTTGCCATATCATCTCTCACATAGTCCATCCATCTCTTTTTCGACCGTCCTCTGTTCTTATAGCCAACCACATTCATGTTTGAAATTTATTAATTATGAAACTAATATAATTTTCTTTTCATAATACTTTATAGACTTACTGATACTGAAGACAGACAATACTCATGGTAGACCAAGATTCAGCTAAATCCACCTGACTTCGCGATGTTTGTTTCGTTCCTTGTTAAAAAAATGTACTCATTTTTAACACAACACAGTTTGAACAATTATTTCAATTTTAATATGGCTTTAGGAATCAGATTAGGTTTATTACCTGTTTTGAAGAGTTTCTCAGAAGGTTCGTTGTTCAATAACTCGTTGGTGTGCGAGTGACAGTGGTCAGCTCTACATCGCAGCAGTCGCTCCTCATAATGGTTCGTTTTGCGAATACATTGTTCCAAATTATGTAGTATATTACGAGCATTATGTAGACCATTTACGAAGTTTTTATGTGCAAATATATTATTCTGTGACTGGACAAGATATAAACGATATTTCATAACTTAGGGAATATATAGATTTATCTTACCACCGTAATCCTGATAGTAGGGTAGACATTTTCTATATATATGCCTACCATAATTGGAAACTATTCTTTATTGTACACACAGTAAAAACAGTAATACGATAAATGTAATGTATAAGGGGCTCGCCCTTATACATTACATTTATCGTATTCTCTAAAAACAGATATCTTCCAGTAAAACTGTTATGTTCTGTCAACTAGATCACATATACCTACATGCATGTACGAAGAAAAAGGAGACATTTAGATATTGTTATACATATATAGTATATAATATATTATATACATCAATACCTAATAATAAAAGAATGAATAGACATCTATACACATAAATAAAATTGGAGTGTCTGTTTGTAATATTGAAATAACCATTTTTTACCACATGCATATGAATATAAATACGGCACATACACCAAAATAACATTTTTTACCATTGTTGTCTGTCTGTTCCGGTTAATGTCTGAAATGCTTGGACCGATTTTGACGGGACTTTTTTTGCCAGGTAACTTATGTAATGAGTAACTTAGGCTACTTTTATTTTAGAAAAATACATTTTTGGCTTAATGAAAGCCAAAAAGAACAGGATACCTAATAAACGCTTAAGCAATATGTGACTACTTCGTCATTTTCATTTTTAAATTGAATATTCTGACGTATACTAACATCAGTAAGAAATCGTTCTAATTTTTAAGTTTTTGCTATGTGAGGAATTGTTCAAAAATCACTGTAATTATTTGAAAGTTTACAATTTGAATAATTAAGTATCTACATAGTTTCAGATTTGCACATATTGTCTTCGGGAGAAATAAGGTACCGCAAACTGAAAGAATATTTATACTACTTACAGAAATATTATTATTAAAACATTTAAAGACATCAGCTGTCAACATATCTTCAGTTATATTTCTTTGCATCACAATAGTGCACTTTTTGTATAATATTGTAAAATATTACGACAGCATCAACGCCAGATTGAAAATGTCAGAAGTGTTGGAAAAAAGAGTTTATAATGAAACATACGCAACTTTGTCAGATGGTTTATTCAACTACAACAAAAAGCATAACTTTTTATAACTAAATCAGTCTAAAAATATTCTCCTGGAATATAGCTACCTGTGGATTATTATTCCATCTAAAAAGGATAAAAACTATACTACGTTTCGTGCATTTTTTTTGCTGCATTAAAACTGAGTTACTGTGGTTTCATTATGTATGAAATCTTGTACACTTATAAAAATATTTTTAATAGATTTTATTTCTTACTTTATACTAAAGTATTAATTAATAGAAGTTATAAGTGTACAAAATAAATACAAAACACAGTAATTGTAAATAAAATATGAGCACTAGAATATACAATATATTTTTGTGTAAAAGGAAACAAAACCAATATTCCAAAGATTTACGATGACATGATAATGTGATTATTTCTGGAAGACATTATTTAGCTTCAAGCTCGAAGCTATTTTGTATAAAAACGAATAAAATCAATATATGATATAACATGATATCAACAACATTCATAACAATTTCATTATAAATTGTAAAAGTTATCATGAACATTCACATGAATACTGATTTAATAACAATCATAAATGTTTTAGCACAATAAATAAAAGTAGTACAGAATAAAATTCAGTTGATTTTTTTGTAATGATATACATATATGGATAGTTATAACTCAATGGTAATAATTAAACTTAAAATTAGTTAATCGAAACAGTTCATAAAATTTATTGGTTCCATGAAACAAAATGTTTATAATATAACATTATGTATTATTTTTTCAAAATCGCATTTTAAGCTAGATTTGTCACTATATGACAATAATCAACTATTAGTGGAGATTTAACGCAACTTCGAATGTTTCGTCTAAACTGTATGGAATTATGAGTTTGCTGCAAGCCTCTAAGGTCTAGATTATGACACTCCCAAATCTGAAGTATAAATGCGATAGTAAACCATATTCTTGAAATATTTTGCCGAAATAAAAGGAGCTCTTTACGAAAGAGATAGAACCACGAATATTTATTAATTTTACAATTATGTACCCGTAATATAATAATTTTCGTCAATACTCTTTCAAATGATAGGTAGTTAAAATTTGTGAGTGGCCAATAATATTGCGTAGCCGTTAGGCAGTTCATATATTGCTATAAATATAATGCACATTACATAGTACTGCATAAAATAACATAAAACTGTCTTTTACGGGTGCTATTATTATTCATAACGTAATATTTGTACAATATTTTAAAAATTTATATCCACTCGCATCAATACAACTAGAATAAACACGTGTGTAACTGTAGGATTTAGTAATTCAAATTTTAAAAATGTATTTATTGTCATTAAGTTGATGTTTTCAATCAATCATTTGCATGAATTTATTCAGTATTCTTTGGTTTCATATCTTTGCAGTAATAGATTCAAAATAGTTAACAAAATCTATATAAAACTTTTATTAAACACAACAATCTTAAAGAATATTGGTTTGCAATATTTGTTATGCAAAACGAAAGTTGAGCGTTTGGAAATTTTACTTATGATATGCCGTACCTACTGAGATCCACAATCAACTGTAGATTACTAATATTTTTTACATCTTCAGTTTCATCATTTCTATATCAAGTATAATATATATAATTTACGAATTGTGATAAAATATGTGATGTAATAATCTAACCTAACATGGAATATTCGAAGGAATTGCTACAAATAACATTATATAATAGAATTTAGTCCGGACATTGGAAACTAGGATACACGGTTGAAGCCTAAAGCTATTATTCATGAAATTGAGCAGAATTCCCTATGAAGTTAAAAGAAAAATTGAAAATGACTAAAAGACCTTGCAAAAAAGTTGAATTTCTTGCTAGTTCTTCTTAACTAAAGTAACTACCTAAAGTGTATGGTTGAGATAGTTATATAATAACAGGACGAGGCAAAAGTTACTATATTAATGTGTTTGAGTTTGATACAAACTGTGTTTTCATGAAATTAGATTAATATGAAAACTAGATATTTTACTTTCTGATTTCTACTTTCTTTCATAGTGAAATTGGCTCAGTTACATGAATATTGAAATTGGCTTTTTGGCTATCAATTTTTAAATATGACTAATCCTTTAACAAAAGTAAAATAAACAAAGTAAATAAAATTAGTATATAATTTTTTAGACAACAGCGTATAATGCAATTATATTGGGGTTTCAATATTTATTATTGCACATTAGATAAATAACAAAAACTAGAAAATGTTTACTTAATAATTCAACTCTAATATAATAAATTTATGTAATGTTATATTTTGGCATAAAACTATTAGAATGCGTTAAGAGATTAAACACTACTATTAATATATAAAAAAAATCTGGTGAAATTTTATTAACTATTCTATTATTTATTCAAGTATCATTCTGCCCATTCTAAGAAAATTTTATGCAACATTTTTATATAATTACACTAACACTATTAATAACTTCATTGAATATAAAATTAAATGTGGAGTGGTTGAATATTCAAACTTGATTTGATTTCATCAATATATTAAATATTCTAGCTAACTGGATAGGTAGTCATCTCTTTTACGCCTATACGACACAAAGTGGAGTTTCTGTTTTATGTGCGAGTGTTAACATTTCAATTATTCTATGCACCCCAATTATAATGAAGTATATAATAAATAAATATTAATATTGTTCTTTAAAGCATTCAGAATTATAACTACATATTTAACAATTAAAATTTTCCATACAACTAATCATTACTTTATATTTGTAGTTTGAAATATTCCATTAAGGGCTCTACTATTAAGCTGATTTTATAAATATGAATATAATTAAGTAACATAAATAAGGGGCCTTAAATGTTAGGCCTCTTATTTATTTTACTTAGTTATATTCCTTTAACTATAAGTTTAAGTATAAAAATTCTAATAAATTCTTATTTATTTTAATTTAAACATGATAAAAAGAGTATAAAATCTAGTAAACTTCAGATGATTGTGACTTACGCTACCGTAAATTCTGGCGTTCCCATTCTTCAACTCTTGTGTGGGGCTCACAGAGAATTTGTAATGTTCTGGTAGAGTCTCTTGCCCCACCACGTTTCAAGGTCAAATGGTTTGAAATCATGGAGCACAGGGCTTGGTGTGTCATCCTGGTAGTAAAGATTCGAGGGTGGTGCTGGTGAAGAACTCCCTGATCCTGTAATGAAGCAAGATAAACTTTATAAGTAAAGCTCTCCTATTTATAGTAAAACTGAAACAACTATCGCCACCATCATATACTAGTTGTATAAATAGTAAACAGATAAGTCAATTATAACCCTACAACACTTTCTGAATTGACACATGTACAGGCTATGTGCTTAATGCTTAACTCATGGAGAACATACAGATACTTTTATTCTTAACAACAGCAGTCTAGCGGTTTTGCATACCATCACACTTTCCAATGGTTGTGGGTTTCACTCATCATATGGTACATAACTTTGCATATTTGTGTATGATTGTTTGCTATGTTTAACTTGTGATTATATTGCGCAGTGTCGATTGTCCAGGGTTGGTATTATTATTGTGTACAAGTAATGTTATACACATTACTTGTTAATTTACTTGATAATGATATGACTTTCCATTTGAGACATGCTTCTATCTTATACCAGGCTCATACACATAAATGCAAACTTCTACACTGATACAAAATTATTTTGTGTAACAAGTAAAGTACAATTGAGTATTAGTTTAAAGAAAAGGTATACATATTATTTTAGGAATGATTTTATATACTGTAGATATTTTAATGGTAAACAATGTGATGAAACACCTGATATGGTAACTGCCATTATATATAAACAGCATTACGAGCATCATAGTATCATGACATGGCCATGATACCACTCACACATAATCCTACAAGAGAACTAAGATGTCATGCCACATATCATCTAATTTCTCTGCTGTATCTGACCTTTTAACTAAAATACATCTTACTGCTGTGCAGCTGAAATTGGTCAATCTGAGGTAGCTATGCAGATAACTTTTTCAGTCTATTTCTTTTAATTACATATTGGCTCTGCAAGACTAAGATATGTTGAAACTCACTTTTACTTTAAGGTTATCACACATTTACATAATAGTAATGATAATATGAACAATTGATTGATAATATAAAATTATATAATCTCATCATTATTGATAAGATAAATATGTACTACTATATATTAAATTGATAAATTTGTGTTGTTTACATCTTGTTATTTACATCATTTCAAGTTTAAGTCACCTGATATATGCATCATTTAATAATATATAGATGTATATTATGTCACCAAAAATATTTAACTACATATATAAAATATTAATGAAATTCTTTAGTGAAGTTGTGGTATAAAGTGATGAAAAATAATAAACTTACCATTACTAGTAGGGGTTGTTGGTTCACTATCACCATAGGCTGTTTGTGTCCAAGCTGAAATAAAGAATATTAGTTGAAAAACCAGGAACACTTACACAGTATATTATAAATGAAATAGGATCTTATGAGAATTCTATTTAGAAAATATAATAAATAACCTTTTCTACCTCACTACTGTAAATTATGGTTCTTGTAATACATATTGATGCAGTAACAAGTTTATAAATAAAAATGTTATATTTATGACATTGCCTCTAAAAAGAACAGATTTTGATTGTTCTTTAAGCTAATTATATGGTTTGACTCTGTTTTAGGTTGTAAATTAATTTTAATCATGATAAGTCATATTTCCATGTAACCATGTTTTTATTTTATTTTGCTAAACAACTGCCTCAATTGCTTTGTGTCAGTTTAAAACAATTACTTTTCATATAACAAATTATAGCAGTATACCTTTTAGAATGGATCCATAACAATAAAATTTAAGTATTTATAACTATTTTTTACACTCATTGCATTAAATACTTCACTCTTCTACAAAATATAAATAATACTCACTTTCACTTATATATCTAATTATTTCCTCGTGTTGTGGTGTGATCACATGATGCTGTATTCTTTGATGGACAGTTTTTTTGCCGTTGGAATGGAATACTGGTTTAGGCATGCTGAAATAAACATTAGATTGGCATGAGCTATCTGAATGGTTTATACATCACTGTTAATCTAAACAAGGGTTTGGTTTAAAATAGAAAAATAAATTGGGATGAACTTTTCTTGACAAAATGTTTCATAATAACATCACGCTAGGAATCGCCCCCGGTGCTAAGAGGTTATGTAAAAACATTGGTCAAATTACCCAATTTTGCGTCATGTCATCAATTCAATACGTACTTATTAATTTCGCCATTATCAGACTCTGAAGACTTCCTATTATTATCCTTTCGACTGTCTAGTCTTTCTAAATTTTGTGAGATGCCTGAAAATTGAAAATGTTTAAAATTATATCGACTATTACTTAAACTATATAACTGTACAAATAAATAAATTCTAATTAGATTACTATTACCTCTTCGGGTTTTGGCGAAAATCTTATTAGGTCCTTTTGAGACAGCATACATTTTATAATTTCTCACAAAAACTAAAAAAATTAACGTAAAAGTCACACGGGAATTATGAGATCAATCAAAGTCAAACTAAAAGTCACAAAAGTCCTGATGGACTAGCAGAATTGCTAGTTACGTTATGTGTTTCTCCCCACAGAAGAAATATTTTTTGTAAAACATTATAAAACTTTCTAATTAGACTACATTTATACAATAGTGAACAAATAATATCTAGTGGGTATTACTTTACTGTCTTACTTTTCTTGTTTCATTGATTATTACGTTTTGAAGGGTGAGAGTATGACTATAGAAAGAATATAAACTTTAATCGGATGTTGTTTATAAAGAGATTAAAGAAAATAAACCCTATTTGATAATAACTAAATAATCCTATTATTTATTAGCACTAATACTAAAAATCTCTTCATCCATAGTTTTTACGTATTTAATTTTTACGTAGATAAAATGAAACTATACTTTTGAAACTGCTTTTTTTATTCATTCATATTAGTTATATGGATATACGATTTTGTTACATATTTTCATTCGAATAAAATTCAACAGGTAGGTAGGTTCTCGTTTTTTTGTTAGCAGTTAATAATTTTGCTTTTTGCAGAATTTATTAAAGTATACACATATTTTACCAACATTATGTTTCTTATTACTCATCTGGTAACACCGTGTCTACTTTGAACGTTTTGTTCCATAACACGCAGCTTTGTATACATATTAAAAAGGCTAAGTATGTGCTAAGAAAAAGAAAACAAAAAAACAAATTCGAAAGTTATAAACATAAAAGTGTAATTAATTATAAAAAATATTTTTATTTAATTGTTAATTACAAATTACAAAAATTGTTTTGATCAAAACATATGTGTTTTACGGTCGATTTTCAATACCAATCTGCTTCATAAGTTCTACATATGTAAACGCGCTTGGCGTAGTCCTGAGGTTAAGAGGGCATGTCATCATAGATAAGTGTAATCATAGAAAATACATCAATTCGCGCAGACAGATCATAATAATTCAATGTGGTCTATATTACGTCAGGACTGCTTAATTTACCCATGTTCAGATTTGTATGTAGGAGATTATTTTTTTTATGTTACTAAAATGCCAAACATTCTGTTGGTCCACTCGCCTGTATATATGAATAGCACAATATCATGAGACGATCTCGATAGATCCGTAGGTTTAATATGTTATGTCTCTGTATCTTTACTGCCATACAGATAGATGGCTCCTTGGCGGCCGACATAGGTGTGATGTACCCACGTGGACAACTTTTATTCGATAAAATGAAGCCAAGTTGTGTTATACTTTGGGATTCTTATGTTCTAAAAACTACACTCGAGGCACCATTGCCAGAGTCAGGAATCGCGTTAGAAAGCTACCATGACTACAGCGGCGATGGCCTGCCATGAAGAATTTGTAGCACAGCCCACAGGTGTCCTATCCCTGGTTTAGGTGACAGAATTTGCCTTCAACGCCGTTCATACTGGATAGCATCGTGATTAATGCCTAAGGAATTAATTCACCATCGCAGTTTGGCTCAGATTGAGTTGTGGCGACTGATCTTGTGAAATAGTTAAAATGCCTATGTAGTAGGTAATACATTAAATTGGTTACCTGATTTGATTTTAATTACATTATGTATGTAAAATCTAGTTATCATTATTGACATAATATAGAATAATCAACGGCCATATATTTAAAGAAATGTAATATAGGAAATATTAGGCTACGGAATTATAAAAAGAAGTAGTAACGCTTTCTGAACTCATAAAAGTCAAATAAACACTTACCAAATGTGAATTCGATCATTTACAATTTTCTTTAACGCGTAGGCAGGTAGATACATAATAACATCACGCAACATGGATTGCTTCTTTTTTTTTCTGACTGATTTTAATTAATTTTATATAACTTTATTTATAAAAATCTGTGTGATATATTTAACATGAATAGGCAGTTGGGTAACAAGAATATTTTGTATATTTACTTTACACTCATGTAACCATGTAGGTACATATTCGATGGAAAGTCATAATTGTTGTCGATAGACGTTCAATAATAGATCGTGAGGGCTAAATGAATGATTACTTGTCCTACTCAATTTGGAATTGAAATTATTAGATGAAATTTGAATACTCAACGATGCTATAGACCCCCTGACCTATCCATCATTTAGGAGTTGTCATTCTCTCCATAAATACTTCTGCGGACTTCATGTGCCTGTACTTATTTCAGTTGGCATTGAAGTAATTTGAAAAAAACTAGACCGAATCAAAGCCAAAGTAGACCTTAACATTAATGATGAAATTATGAAATTTACCAAGAACTAAATATTGTACTTCGTTGCTCTTGTGTTGATATTATTGCTTAGTGTTACAGTTTTAAAATTTTGTCCAATTAATAATTAATTTCTATGGAGCTGTAGATACTTCTCATAACAAAACCGTCAGACATCGCAGTCGGAAAAGAATTGCACTATTCTAGAGGTCACAGTTTATAATAATATAAAGATAAATCCACTGCAACTGTAAATAAATATTTTATTGTAGTTAATCATTACATGCCTAGCTGACCGGCTTCCAAAACATCCTGTATTATACTCGTGACCTTCCCAACCATAATTTAACTCATGTGCATGTGGTATTTGCATGTTAACTGGCGTTCGTAGCAGTTGAACGCGATGCAAATATCCAGGACTTTCGCTTTAACACCAACTTTCACTAAACAACTATATGAATGAACAATTACCTCCATACTGCGTGATAAAAAAGCCATTATTCGCGGTAACGGAACGCATACAGCGATTCGTTCTAGTTAAATGTTTGGTTATGTTTATGTATGCCAATAAGCTAGGTGTTTTTTTCAATTGGCGGAATTTCAACACTAATGAGATTCTGAAACATACTCTATTTTTCGATTTATATTAGACAATTTTGTTTGTCAATTTTGAATTTATGTTGATGTTTGATGCTAATTTTAAAATCGATAATGTTTGCAATCGTGATATTCCTTTACTAATTTTATTAAGTTATAAAAAATATAATTAATGTTTTTATAAAAAAAAAACTAGTATACAGTTACAATTTATCAATGAAACTAATAAAAATAATAATATTAGGTAACATACCATCACGACTCTTACCCCATATAAGATAGTATCAGTATCAACTGCCAACGCACTGCTAAACGCATCACTTGATATGCCTATATTTAGCTGGGTACATTTTAATAAAAAGAATTAAGGTCTATGTTCCAACTGTCTTTCGAATGAAATTTGTTTTGTATCGATGTTTTTATACATAAATTGATAGTCACAATGATAAATATATACCTAATATATGTACAAAGTTTTTGATATAGACCATATTTGACCTCGAATCGTTTTTCGTGTTTCATTGAGTGTAAGAAATAAAATATGAATAACTGCTTTGATAACACCCTAATACTTAATAAAAGGCCAAACCTATGCATTTATCGGCGATTTTACTATCTATAGCCCAGTTTAACACCATTAACCTGTTAAGATATAACGTATATACCTAATAGATTTTTAATGTATATTGCACGTTTTCAGGTACCGTACTGGTACCTGATAACGACTGGTACCTGGTTGCTATGAAAACTAACAATTATGCTGCATGTTATGACGAAAATAGCAGGTATAACATATAATAAAAACATTTTTGGTAACACTTATAGGGATCTTAAATAACAATTAGCTAGAGGGCGAAACTGCGGGACGCAATAGAATTACTTTCGGCTAAAATTATAAAGAGTAAAGATTATATTTTTGTTTATGATTAATATGAATAAGCACAAAACATACTCAACCATTCTTATTGTTTTTTTTTATACACAAAAACCACTTTATTAGCGAGTAATTTGATGTAATATTTTATTTTCATATAGTATAAGAGATCGAAGTCTCTACAATAAATTGTACTCGAGTGAAGTTGTGATGTATTACTAGTATCATATAAAGATAACTTAAGTGGCTGAGATCAATTGAATCATTATGCCGTCTGAGCATGCAATTGACCGTGATAAAAGGGAATATTCATATTGAATTGTTAACGAATGTTATTAACGAATTGCAATCGAGTTCTGTCTTATTGAGAGAGATTATTAACTATTATGTATACTAGCTATCCCGCACAATTTCGAGTGCATCACACTTGCTTGACATTCATCATTATATTTCGCCCAATTTATATATTATATTTTTAAATCTTATTATAATCTATATGTTATTAATAATAACAAATCATTAATAATAAGTTTTATCAAAATTCGTTCAGCAGTTTATGCATGAAAGTGTAACAAACATCCATACATCCATACTTACAAACTTTTGGGTTTATAATATTAGTAAGATTAAGAGTTTATTTGTATACTTTTTTAGTTTGATGATATGGCTATGTTATCAAGTAAAGATCTTTATATTGTGTTATTTATGTATTCACACTTTGGTGAGTATTGTTACATGACATTATATTCTCCGTTGGTTTTTTCAGGTACACCTGAACTAAAAAAAAATGTAAAGTTTATTTTGCATAATTTGAACTTTTTGAGTTAATGCTGTGTTGTGCTTATATCAACACATCATCGTTAGGAAAAATAAATAAAAAATAAATAACCTATTAATTAGAAAATCGATTACGGCTTCGATCTTGTGAATTATGGTACCTACTCATATAAAGATATTTAATGTGGGAGGCGGATTTTCTTAAAGCCATTGACTCTACATTAAAAATATGACTAATAAGGCGTGCGGCCCATTATTTACTAACACAACTTCTATTAAAAATAATTTGAATTCTATACAGATAAATAAATATAAATTAAAGAACTTTTAGTGCATATTAGATATAAATAATTCAATAAAAATAACAAAAAAGATTTAATATTTATGTACCTACTTAAAAGGAAACCGAGATAGACTTTGCATGCGCTACCTCACCTATTTCATATATCAAACAGGTTGCTTGGTAAGCTTATGGGGTGATATTCGGCAGTGAAATTACAGGGCATAAGGCATCATAGTGCTTCGGTATGGCAACATACGAGGGTTTAATCAGGATGTAACTTACGGGGTGCTCTTCATGTATATAGGCGCTGGTTGCAACCACAGACAACATAATATTGTTGCAATTAATCATCAGATGGGCCGTTAACTTGTTTAACATTCTAGTTACAAGAGAAATTTTATTACCATTATAATTGTGTTTAACAGTTTCTTGTCATAATGTAATTTAAATTCATTCAGTTGTTTAGAGTTAATGAATGACAAATAAATAGCTTCTCTAATATATTATCAAGATTACCATAGGAAAAGTAAACTTGCTTCGTATCTTTTACATTAATATTACTGTGGGTACAAAAGATTTGACCTATAAATACCTACCTAGACGTCATATGTTATGTAAGAACTATAGGTACAGATAACCATGGAAATGCGGGGTACTTATTATATGACCGTGATTTTTCTTTGATTATTACCTAATCAAAGAAAAATGATGATTACAGCGTCCTGGCTAACTTGTTTGCCTTTTGTAGTCGTAAAAAACCCATTTACTACTAAATGAGCTGGCTGACGTATTGTTGCTTGGCTTATTTAAATATTAGTTGACAGTTATTGTATCTGGTTTAGAAAACTCTGTGGAATGTAATTGTATGTAATGGTTTACAGACAATGGCTTTTCAAATAATGTTTTCGCTTGCATGCAACTAACGGGATTTACGCAACAGATCGGATTAGATAGCAACATGCTATGGGAGTTTAGTGTAACACCATAGCATTGTGAGTACTCAAAGGTAGACAGCAGAATACGTATACCTATAACATCTATACTACAATGATAGGGTACATTGGTTTGCGTTAATTTGACCTAGGTTTGGTTCTCGATCGAGCTTATTTAGAAATTGCCTTTCCAAAAATATCGCAGATTGTTTCGATTGAGTTGCGGCTTTCAGATGATGTTGTGAAGCGACCTTTTTGTTCATACAACAACTTGAAGAATATAAAGTAATGTTTTGAAATTAGATTGGAAACTCTATACATTATGCCAATACAACAGTAGGTAGTTTCAGTTTACCCACATTACACAATCACATGTAATTACATAGCTCTATTGTTAGTGCTGTGCACGATGTCAATTTAGCAAAAACTGAGGTTTTACAAACAAATAAACATTTAGAAAACAAAATTAAGAATGTCATTTATAAGGTTGGTTGTATAAGTAGTAGAATATATATAATAAGTGACAGTTAAATAATTAAGTTCAATAATTAATTAATTTCAAATACGAATTACAATATATTGTAATGCTCATAATCACAGAGGGGAGGTCCTATAAGCTCTCAGTATCAAATTTAAGGTGAAGATTATTATTCTATTATTTCGTTCATTATTCATATTTTTATTATCATTGAGTTAGTTAACAATATGAATTATCGAATTTCTTTTTAATGACCCTTAGATTAAATAATCTATTTTTGTAGGTCTCTAAGTGTGAGTAGTACCTAAACTGTAATTAAACCCTCGTATGATATATCATTACAATTAAGTAGTAGATACCACTAAAAGAGTAAGTCTCTGACATAAAATATATTTTATTGGAACAGAATAGAATTAAAAAAGCTTTATGAGTTTCAAAGCCATGACTACTGTTCACACTTCACAAAATACGTGTTTTTTATTTATTTGTACTACGCATGTTATTGAGCTCCAGATTATTTCAACAATAGAAAAGCGTTGTTTATTATGAAGTCTCTTTTTCTATGTATATATTTTTAAATTATAACATTTTGGGAGTGTGGGTGTACCGAGGTGTGTCCTATTTTATTTGTTGAAGCTGAAGATTTTGGCTTCGTACCGGACGATTGACGTCATAGAAAGTGAAGGGCTATTCGCGTATTACAGTCTATTAATAAATCGAATTACAGATATAAAGGTGAATAGATATCTATCTCTAGTAAGTACCCATCGCAGCGACGTAGTTAAAGAACATCTTCTGATCGATCAGACAGTTTACAATTAATACGTTTATATTATGTTATATACGTAGAGATATTGTAAAGCTGGATATATAAGTAAAATGATACATTTGAGTAAAGTTGAAAACTTTAAAATAGTTATAACATTTCACTTTTCTTAAAAATAAGAACCAATTGAACACTCCTAGATGATTACAAGATCTATCAAGAAAGATATACCCTAAATACCTACAGAATCTTGGATCGCTTCTCTAAAGTTACAAAAGAGTACACTTAATTTACCTTATATACCTACTACACCCTTATACGACACAAATAGATATACACTACGACATAATGTATGTGATAAAGCACAGTAAAATCCGTTCTATAGTAGGCATCACCACTGGTTAAAGTGATTTGGACTCATACACTCATTTGAACTATGAGTTCTGATGATTGATTCATTTACAAATCTGAGACGACGATTTACTTGAAGCCTGCACAGAGTATTGCTATAATAGTAATTATTATAATGTAAAATCTTCGCAACAACTATGTGAGGCAAAAATAGTACCTACTTTTGCAGGCCTATTTTTATTATATTTGTAACTTCGAGTTTGGTAAGTTAACTTCAGTCTTATATCAAACGCAAAAGTTATCGTAAAAGCTTTTTGCACTGAACCTCTTCAGAATAGATGGACATTAATTTATAGTATATGAATATATGTAAATGTTTACTATCATGTTATTATGCAGCATTAAATTATATGTATATAAAAGTAAAGTTTCCTAACTCACACATTTAGGTACAATAGAACAAATATCTACGTAGGTATTCGTAATGTATGCTCTTTTATTTTTAATGCTTTTGATATTCTATATTGTGTGTACTGTAATGAATAATAATAATATTATGTATCTAAAAATACTCACGAACTGATGACTAATAACAATAATTTTATTGATACTGAATGAAATATTAATGTTGCGCTGAGTAGGAAGGAAAGCGTAATTCAAATAATAAATTAGATAAATTACAGAATGTATATTTGGTATTATTTATCTTTTCTATGGAAATATTTTTATTCTGGGAATACTGTTACTAATATAAAATGTACGGATAGAAGGAAACAGTTTAAATTTTGCATACAACAATAAAGTTCAAGGCAATAGAAAGGCAGCTGCTAACTATACTGCGAAACTATGTTTTAACTCTGCAAGCGGTTAGCGGATCTCCCGCCAAAACATATGGCCGAACTGAACAAAGTAGCGCCTCAGTCGTCCAATCAGAGCGGTTCGCGCCCTACGTTCGCTCGCGCGTATTTATCAAAATCTGGATAATGAACCGAAATCGGTGGCGAACTCTAAATAATAATAATATTACTTAAAAGTAATCAAATAGACAGCTCAATCAAATCGTCATTAGCTTTCGTACAGCGAACACATCGTGTAAAGTAAATATCGTACTGTTAATATAAATTCGAAAAACAAAAAAGCAAATCTGCGATACGGGCCGGTTTAGTTCCTTGGCCAGGTATTGAGTTAAAAAAAGAAATAAAAAATGTGCGTTCCAATAATCCAGTATGCATAACTCTTGATTTTTTAATTCTGAACACTCAAACATTTTTATAGAGAACATATTTTATGGGTGTGTGTTAAATATCCCAAACTTTCAAAGCCGTCAGTCGAGACAGAAAGTGACAGTTGTGTGCTAGAAAAGTGATCCTAAATAACATATCTACTATAGAAAGGCATTCATAATATACGATTAACGAGGTAAGATTTTGAGCAATGAATTCCCTAAAATCTATTAAATTGAATGGCAACCTATCACAATTATTATTTTAATATACATAATTAATATTTTATAAATATTTATTTTAATATATTATTATTGGTATTTTTAAGGTGATATTTTATATTTATTATTGTGAATCCGTTTTGAATATTCCAATAGAGAGCCAACATTGTTATTAAATGGGTCGCATTGTATCCAAAGAGATAAATAACACCCACATAAATAATCTAAAATGTGATAACATGGTCACTGTAAATATTTTTTTTAACTAAATGTAAATACTTAATTTGGTTGTGTCTACTCGTAACTCATAACTAAGTAAGTTATAAGTTACGAGTAGATTAATATAAAACAGTAATTTTATAAATATTGTTTTTTCTTATTAAAATAATTATAATGTTATGGACGTATGGATGAAAAACAAATCGGTTCTGCAAACCTTTTAACTGATTAAACCGTTTTAAAAAATTGTCTGGAATTTATATATGTGTACTTTATATTAATTCCATATAGATTTTGACGATTATTCCTGCAAGAATTGAAGCTTGCATCCATGACACAGGCTTGTTGGTCTTTTAATAATAATAATCTTATCGCATTTTGTAGAACAAAATAACTAAGAAGGTTGGTAGAACCTATTTATATAGAGATTTTTTATAAAACGGTTGCACGAGCTTAAGTACTTTGGGGTCCAATTATTGTGATGAATAAAACTTATACAAATATACCTATGTATATGGGTGTCGTGTTAGCTTGAAAAGTATTATTATTTAATAAGTTAGCTTAATATTAGTGTATTTCTTGTCATGTTAGCTAATTATTTATTATTATCTACTTACTTAATTAATATCACGTAAATTTAGTTAGGTTATTTAGTATCTAACTAAATTTACGTGATATTAATTAGATATTTATATTGTTTATATTATATATTTATTGTTTTACTATAAAATTATTTTGAATAGTAAAATCGATCGATAATATTAATCGATCATATAACATTATTAAAAATAAAATCTTCCCAATCTTTATGAATTATAGCTAATCCTTATGCGTAAATATTTATGTGTTATTATTATATCATTAATAATAAAAAGATTGTGTTCATTGCACCTAATTATGTGCTCGTGTTGTGTTTTCTGCATTCCCAGTGATTATTTTTAATCAGCTTAATTAAAAATTTAAGCCGGGTGACGGCGGCTGGCTAAGCACGTCTACAAGGTCACTGGGTCGATTCTTGAACATGATAATATATGAATCGAGCTATTCTTAATTTATGTCCGTACATAATTTATTGTTTGGTTTCTCGCAATGCAAGGTCTGCGGACTTGGTGCTACAATGTTGTAATTACCTACTAACTATAAGTCTAGTACCTACTGTATAATGTAGTATTGATACCTACATATGATAACACGTATATGATATGGAAATATGTCTTTAATAATTAAAATATATACTTACTAGATATCTGTATTAGAAAAAATATATATTTAAGTATTTTTATCAGTTGTCATAATAGACGCTCTGTGTGAAATGTCCTGGGTTATTATCATTACTTACATATATATCTGTGCCTCTGTGGTCATTTATGATCAATGCGTAGTTGTCTCTTGCCGTCTAGATTTTGATAAGCTTGATGATTTTTTCTTTTTAAAAATTAATACGATAATCAAATAACCAAAGAAAGTTAATGGGCACAAAAAAAATATTAAAATAAATGGATGGAATATAGTGAACAAATTGGATATACATATATACTCGTATGTAATGACTCGTATGTCGTAAGTGTGGTTCCCTTACATACGAGTATATCCTATCCACATAGTACATATTATCATACTATAACAGAGAATTCTGTTCTGTGAAGTGATCAAAACAACGCAACGCAATCGCTTTTAATTTAAACAACATCAGCGAAATGTTAGCATGTCAATCGTTATGTTTACTACAACATTGATAGTTAACGATATCTCTGATTACCAGATCTGGCTTAACAGTAAAGAAAATAGTTATTCTAAAGATATAATAAAAAATAACTGAACGATATATAAGTAAACCTAATATATGAAAAAGAATCCAAAACATTATTAGAATTTTTGTCTGTTTGTGAAGTCTCAGGAACGGCGTAACTGATTTGGCTGAGACTGTAACTAATGCACTCACTTACTAAGTGAGTTTAGTGTTTGTTTTATTAGAAACCTATGAAGTCGCGGGTTCACTTAATATATGAACATATCTAATAATATCTATAGGTACTTAAACTTCTGCATGCAATGTAGGTATTATGATTTTTACGTAGTAATGCAGCGTGACCATGAGTTGTTCATCCGTCTGATACAGTCGAGATAATTGACTTATAATAGCAACTACATATATTATGTAGGCATATATATATTATGTTATATAATGGTCAATATGATAAGGCAGGCCACTGAATGTAAAATATAACTATCGCATATCGTTAACCTACACTTTACTTTATTAGTAATAATGGCCCTATTGCTAATAAGTCAACCTCCATACGATTGCTGGGAAACTCCTGGAAACCGTCGCGGTGTAAGGTGATTTCATTACTACATATATACTAAGTAACTTAAAATAAATGAAGATAGGTAGATATAAGATATGATTTATTGAGAGCCTCGCGAGCCTTTTACTAGTGATATCTACCCTTGTGATAGTGAGTTAAATCTGGACAACAACAAAAACAAAACTTGTGTGTTAATTTATATTTCTGGCTGATTTTCCGGTGAAGGGAGCACCGATATTAAACAAAAAAAAAACTCGAGAGATAGTACTTGCCTCGCCTCTGCCACCTAGAATTCAAAATATACTGAGCGAAATGTGGGCATGTCAAGTGTTGTCCTCATCACAATATCGACAATTAACAATGCATTTGACTGCCTCTTACAATTACAGTCATAATGGTATGTATGTATGTATGTATGTAAATTGACTGTTAGATAATATATTTTTTTATTTTCTTATTCAATAATAATAATTTCTAAACGAAACGGTTCAGTGAGGGTAATCAGATTGCGGCTTTTATAAAAAAATATTTTAGTGTCCTGTCAATCTACTTAATATCTGTACGTTTCCAACTAAAGTATCGTAAAGTGGTAATGACTACTAGTGTGATACTATCGTATCGCTTCTTTAATGATCTGAAACTATGTCCATCTTGATTACCTATGCTAGTTGGATTAAAAGTATGGTAGGTATACATACTGGAGCAATGTAATCTGAGAACAATATACTATTGTTCTAAGAATATAATAATAAAAGATTTCAGTGTCAGAGATGTTTAGAATTACAATAGCTTGTAAATTCCACGAAATCGCGAAAGTTGATATAACAATTCAAGATATAAATCGGATGTGTAATTATAAGCTCTTGTGATGAGACAGCTTTCCGAATGAGCGATGGATTAAAAAAATAAGTATGATTATTCAAAAGTACATAAATTAAGTTTATTACAATAAAGGATTTTCTATTATATTCTAAGCAATAAGAGAACGATCGGGATCTTAATTATTAAATATATGTTTTAAAGCCTATGCCTACTAGAAAATGGATACACTTTTTACAACACAAGATTTGAAATGAGTAGGTAATTCCTAAGGATACTTAGGAATTGTCATAGTTAATGAAACAATGTCTATATTGTGTCATTGACTGATAAATATATCAGTTACTTTGTTGGATTAACAAGTCGTCATTACCAGATTACAGTAGGAAGTATGTACGATTAATCATACTTTTACAATAGCTACTGATGTAAAAATAAAAATATTGTAATGGAATATTAACCCAAATGGCATTAATATAGATTCACGCTTTATAATTTTTTGTAGAGGTCATTTGGCCCGCCTGATCGTGATAGCAAGATGTTAACCCTTAACTGTACTTTACTAACACTATGAAAGTAAAAGGTTTTTGTAAATCTTTATATTTTAAAAATATGGAGATACAAATATTATTTTTAAAAAAGTTTTCTTTACAAATCCTGAGAATAATATATATAGCAATAATAAGATTTATACAAATATATAAATCTCTGGATATTCCAAATGAGTGAATTTTAAAAATATACACCACTATACTAATGTGTGCGCTTACATTTTCTGTACTTAGATATTATGTAACAACCAGTAACTTAATGCACGTGACTTGCAAATACAAATAAATATTTTTAATATGATATGTGTTACACGTACGTCGTACATATCAAGGTAGAATCGATTCATAAAGCGTGAAACATTATTTTCAGTCTATTCCCCAAGCTTCAGGGTCGTTACCACCAGAAATACTAGCGCTCTTCAGCCTTCTGAAGCTGTAGTGAAGGACTGTAGGTAGATTTAGTCGGACGTCATCCTGAATTGTATCTGTCTATCGTATGTGTGCCGTATCTCTGTTCCTTCTTTATTCCATATAACCTACAATTATGCATATCTCCAGATTTGCAATACATATTTTTAAACTGTAATAGGCAATATTAATAATATATTGGTGATACCAATGGTACCAATAATCTCATGATAAATAGGTATATAGGTACCTCTCTCAACGATTCGATTAGGTTGCACTAGCGGCGTCACGATTCCAAACAGATTATAACTTTCAAATATACTCGTAAAATGCATAGAATTCAGTGATAAATACAAGTTATTGAAGTCGCTGGCGGAAGACCCAAAAAAAACCAATTTTTATAAGTAAACTAAATTTAATTCTAAAAATTAATTATTACAATTATATAGGTGTCTTCGGATCGATGTGTGATCCGTAAGTGCAATTATATAAAATTAAAAATCAGGGAAATGGGTATTATTGCTGTGGGGACTAAAATGCTGATTCGACGCAGGTGGTTTTCTCGGTAGCGCACCTTCTTGCGTCATGCTTGGTGGTCCGATCCGATCGCCGTTGAGGATGTGTCGTAATACTTGCTAGGTATCTACTATAACACCTCCCCGTTCAGAT